CCCCCCCCCCCCTTCCACTGCATGGCGTAGACTATGTTTGATGATATACTATATATATGGTTGACTTGCAGAGAAGAGCCGGTGCATATAGTGTATATAAAGGTACATTTTTTTTTTTTTTTTTTTTTACAATTAAAAAGACATTTACTTTGGTACATCCAAAATTCTTTTTCAATTATTGTTTATAGTTCAACATTTTGGTCGAAAACATTCGTCCAATGCGAAAGTCCAACAACGAAAACACTGAAACGTGGAATGTTAAAGTAAAGAATTTAGAAAATAAATCAACTGAAGAGCTACAGTTTGATGCAGTGATGATTTGTATCGGGTGAGATGGTCATAAAAATCATAAAAAAAGTCAATAAAAATGTACATTTTTGTGTTTGTACAGGCATCACTCTGTCCCTCATGTGCCGAAAATAATCGGTTCAGAAACGTTTCCAGGAAAAATGTTACACAGCCACTCTTACAGAAGACCCGAGGAATTTCGTGACGAAAAAGTACTGTTGCTGGGAGCTAACTACTCCGGAATCGATATTGCCCTGGAATTAACGAAATACGCCTCCCAAGTTTACTTGAGCCACGAAAAAGACAAGTTAAATTTTTTCCCATTGTAATGTGATTAAAATATAATATTTAATTTACAGCACTTTGCCAAATTTTATATTCAGATTAAAATACCAGCTCCCTGAAAATATAATCCAAGTGCCGGGAGTAGCCAAAATCAACGGAAATAGTGTTTACCTCAAGGATAAGGATTCAACTGTTCTCACAGTGGACAACTTCATCTACTGTACGGGATATCTTTACAGTTTTCCCTTTTTAGACAACGAATGTGGTATTGAACTTGATGACAACTACATCACGCCTCTCTACAGACACATGATAAACATAGACCATCCAACAATGTGTTTTATCAATCTGCCCAACGACGTCATACCTTTTATAACTTCGCATATGCAGGTGATTTTTTTTCGTGCTCATATACATACATACCTACACACATCTTGAATAGTAAAATTTGTTTCAAATGCATTAATTTTACGAAAATAGGTGCAGCTCTTCGTATCAGTTCTAAAAGGGACGCTAAAGTTGCCATCGCGAGAGGTGATGATGGAAGATATTAAATTGCAGGAGAATCAGAGGAAAAAGGATTATCACAATTTGGGCGACGTGCACTGGCTGTATTTAAAGTGTCTCATTGAACAAGCAAAGCTTGAGCCTTTACCCGGATTTTATGAAAATGGACTTAAAAAATGGTTCAATGCATTTTATAAGTATCCAAGTGATGTTAAAAATCTTAAATTCGTTATATCGGAAGACCGGGAGTCAGCGAGATTATTGAATCAATTTGGAGAAGAAGTTTTGGTACCAGAAACGTCTAATGCATCATCTTGATGATAATACAATAGTTGTAGTTATTACAAAAATCGGCGAAAAATATTTATTTCACGATTTCCCTAAGAGATTTAAAAAAAACTATCGTAACTTAAAACAATAACATTTTTTTTTTATTTGTATTTTGTTTCTAGACATATCCCTTCTTGTTCCTAAGGTATGCGAGTTTTCGTGCGAGTCCTACGGTGTAAAGCCTTCTTTGACACATCCATTTGCAGGTTTATGGAAGGATATCTTCACCCCATCTATATCGTACTGATACTGGGATTTCTTTTTTTTTTTTTTTTCTGAGTCTAACTACTAATAGTGGAAACGCGACCTATATCTCTTGAAAAACCGACTGAGCTAGCCAGTCGTTGTCTTCCCTCAAAAGGAAGCCACCAGAATTATCCAGAAAAATCTGTTAATCGTTTTAAAAATCGGATAAGTGGATTTTTTACATACAGGATACAGGAGCTTTAAGCAAGTAAACGACATATCGTGTAAACTTAATTTTTCTGTCGATAACCCATGTAGTATGTAATGGCAGTCTTGGTCGTCACTTTCGTGGGTTACAGACAAAAATGTGTTGCTTTTATTGGTAACATTGCTTAAATAGGTAAAGCTGGGTTCTTCGTAAATAGAAAAAAAAATCGAGGAAAACCTGAACTGTTTGGATTTTTGCAGATTAGGTGGCTACAAAGCTAACAACTTAGCGTTATTGAAGCTTTCTACGATTTTTTTTAATTTTCTTACAAAAATTACAATTACATATATTTACCACGAAATAAAAATATAAAAGCTGCAAACGAATGAATTCAAAACTTAAACTTTACACTCCAAACTAATCATACAAGAAGGAAAACATGATATAAGGTGATGACAAAACAATAGAGTAATTCGGTTATATCGATATAATATCACTTTATTGCATTAAACGGACAAATACGTACGTGTTCTAAATTTTCAACTAATAATGTTTTTTTATTTGAACGCTACGTCTTACAATTCACAAAGTCTTTCGATTAGTTATATAATAATAATAATGTTGATAATAGTTGTAATATAATAATATAATGATTTGTAGCGCGTATCACCAAACGTAACTCCACTTCAACTTTGTCAAATTACAAGACTCGATTAAACGCAAAATGTATAGGTACAGTGAAAGAAATAAAAGTAAAAAAAAAACATCAGTAGCGATACACAATACATGCATATGCAGGTGCAGTCTCTTTCGAAGATAAAAAAAAGGAAAAATCGTTCCTTCGAAATACCTAAAAGACGGACTTAAAAAAGAAAATAATAATAATAATAATAATAATAATACGAATAAAATAGTAATAATAATAATACACAACAATAAGATCGTAACGGTTATTTATCACATACTACCGAAGACTTTGCGGCCTTTGGTGACAGCCAGGGACACGACGATGACGACGAGGACGAAGAAGACGAGGCCGAAGACGATAACGAAGACGCAGCACCAGCGTCTGCGTCGCTTGGCGCGGGCGATGGCGCGGCCGAGGCGCTCGGCGTGGAGGGCGTCGAGGGTGAAGTCGAGGTTCTTGTCGAAGCCGCGGAAGTCCTTGTTCCAGGTGTTGCTTTTCGAGCCGTCGTGGTTGCTCGTTGCCGACGACGATGAGTACTCGTCGCTGCACTGGAGCTGAAATTTTTTTTTTATCGATTAACGACTTGCTTACTTTTCATGTTGAGCTCACAATGTACCCCGAGATAACTAGTATGTGTTCTACCGTAAAATTTTTTCTCTGATGAAAAATTTTTGATGGAAGAATAACTGGTAAAAAGGATTTTAATGGATTTTAAGAATTAAAAAATAATTCATTCGTAACAATTTACTTGCTATTGTGCTGTTAATAATCAGTAAATACTGTAGCACTTTCACGATTAATTTTATGATACTTTGTACAAAAATCTGTGTAATTTAGCCAACTTTACTTTAATTTTCATGGGTAAAAATTCTTGTAACTTATCTTTTTTCCATTTATAATTGGAAAATTACAAACAAATAGTACCATTAATTACATTATACATAGCATCGGTTTAATGATCACCAATAAAAATAAATATAGAAATGTAATTTAGTGATATGGACCAAAATTGATACCATTTGAAATTGATACAAAATTTAATTATCATCAAAGAATAATTATTAAATTTTTATATCTAAAGATATGAGCATTGATGGATTTAATACAAAAACAGGATACAAGGAATCAAAGATTCTACACCCATTCAAATTTTAAAGTGTGTATGCGATGTACATTAATCAATACGTTTGTCGACCTACCAAATTAATCGTTATGTTTTATTTGCAATTTTTTAACTCCATTCAACTTGTCGAGTACAGATTATCAAGCATTAAAATAATCATTTTAGATTAGATAAACCTTTTTCTACCAACACACATAATATTAACATGATCGACTAAAATAGAGTAAAAGTAATTCTTTTTTTTTTCTTTGTATCTCGCAGTTAAGGAACAATTTTTCCGAGAGTCACCAAATAAAGCTTCGAATTACTCATCCCTTTTATACTCACCGTGGTATATTCATGCTCGGCGATCGAGGGGTAATTGAACCTCGCATCTTTGTCGGGACGCCCGTCGTTTTGATTGTTTCTCGACTGTTTGCAAGGGCCCTTCTTTCCGGGGGATCGGTCCTGCTGGGGGCCGTTGTCGTAGCCCTTGCAATTGCACGTGACGAAGCTGTTTTCTGCGCCCCGGAGAAGATAGACGCTCGGTGGGCATTGGGCCTTGCGATCGGCCGATTTTGGGGACGGTTGGACCGAGCCCGGGCGACTCTGGCATAAAACGCTCCTTTCGCAGTAGCATCTAGGGAAAAATTAAGGAAAATCGCAGATTTCGTTTGTTGCGTTTTTCAAAATGTCGTAAAAAATATCATGGGGAGATAAAAAATTTTGAGTTGGGCTCCAATCTTATGAGGTATTGAAGAATTTCTTTCACAATAAAAAAGAAAGGTTCAGTTGTTTTATAATCGTGTTGTTTTGTACAATTTTTCGTATGTTTTTAAATAAATAAATAGGGTGAATAAAACAAAGTTAAATAATAGACATATCCCTTCTTGTTCCTAAGGTATGCGAGTTTTCGTGCGAGTCCTACGGTGTAAAGCCTTCTTTGACACATCCATTTGCAGGTTTATGGAAGGATATCTTCACCCCATCTATATCGTACTGATACTGGGATTTCTTTTTTTTTTTTTTTTTGAGTCTAACTACTAATAGTGGAAACGCGACCTATATCTCTTGAAAAACCGACTGAGCTAGCCAGTCGTTGTCTTCCCTCAAAAGGAAGCCACCAGAATTATCCAGAAAAATCTGTTAATCGTTTTAAAAATCGGATAAGTGGATTTTTTACATACAGGATACAGGAGCTTTAAGCAAGTAAACGACATATCGTGTAAACTTAATTTTTCTGTCGATAACCCATGTAGTATGTAATGGCAGTCTTGGTCGTCACTTTCGTGGGTTACAGACAAAAATGTGTTGCTTTTATTGGTAACATTGCTTAAATAGGTAAAGCTGGGTTCTTCGTAAATAGAAAAAAAAATCGAGGAAAACCTGAACTGTTTGGATTTTTGCAGATTAGGTGGCTACAAAGCTAACAACTTAGCGTTATTGAAGCTTTCTACGATTTTTTTTAATTTTCTTACAAAAATTACAATTACATATATTTACCACGAAATAAAAATATAAAAGCTGCAAACGAATGAATTCAAAACTTAAACTTTACACTCCAAACTAATCATACAAGAAGGAAAACATGATATAAGGTGATGACAAAACAATAGAGTAATTCGGTTATATCGATATAATATCACTTTATTGCATTAAACGGACAAATACGTACGTGTTCTAAATTTTCAACTAATAATGTTTTTTTATTTGAACGCTACGTCTTACAATTCACAAAGTCTTTCGATTAGTTATATAATAATAATAATGTTGATAATAGTTGTAATATAATTCTTTGTGGTG